AAGTGTCAAGAGAGCTTTGAAAAGCTAAAATCCTTATTGACACAAGCTCCAGTACTTTCTTTGCCAGTTGAAGGGAAAGATTATGTGATATACAATGATGCATCTCACCGTGGCTTGGGTTGTGTTTTGATGCAAGAAGGGAAAGTAATTGCTTATGCCTCTCAAAAGTTGAAATCACATGATTTGAATTATCCCACTCACGATCTTGAACTTGCTGCCATTGTTTTTGCCTTAAAAATTTGGAGGCATTATTTTACGGGGAGAAGTGTCACATATTTACTGATCACAAGAGTTTGAAGTACTTGGGTACACAAAAAGAGTTAAACTTGAGACAACGTAGATGGCTTGAACTCATCAAAGATTATAATTGCACGATTGATTATCATCCCGGTAAAGCCAGTGTGGTTGCAGATGCGTTGAGTCGCAATTCCCTTGCAAGTTTAACTCTAGGTCATTTGCCTTTGCTTCTTGAATTAAGAGCCATGAATGCTTGTCTTTCATTTAATTCTCATGGTTCTATCATTGCTAATTTGCAAGTCAAGACAGTCTTACTTGAGCAGGTCCAAGAAGTGCAGAAGTTAGCAGAGAAGCTTGTGAAATGGGTTGAAGAAGTCCAAAATGGAAGAGAATCAGATTTTACATTGAAGGAAGATGGTACCTTATTTTATAAAAATAGGTTGTGTGTTCCTAATGATGATGAATTGAGGAAGCAGATCTTGATTGAAGCACATAGTTCACTGTCACGACCCAATTTCCCCTCCGTTGGGTTTCGTGATGGCACCTAGTCTTAAGGACTAGGTAAGCCTAAGATTAAGTGAAACTACAACAACATCTAAATGACATCTAATAAATTTGAAATACAAAATCTCTTTAAGCTTTACAACCCCAAAACCGGTAGAACAAGTCATAAGCTCTACAGAGTTTCGCTAGAACTTCTAAACACGGCTGTATGGAAATAAGTACAATAGTGTGAACATAAATAGGAAGGTGAATCCGAAGCCTACTAAAGCAACAGCAGGTTTACCTTGAGTCTCCTCAGCGACGGCCCGCACAGCTACAAACGAACAATACCTGGGTCTGCACAAAAAAATGTGCAGGAGAGTAGCATGAGCACACCACAGTAGTGCCCAATAAGTATCAAGACTAACCTCGGTGGAGTAGTGACGAGGAACAGTCAAGGCACCTACTAGTCCAATAAACTGTACAAATAAAATCATAGGAACAACAGAACATGATGTATATATATAGACTACACGATATGGTTAACAATACAACAATCACAATATGGAAGAAAACATCAAGTGACAACGGAAACACCGTAATAATGACATAAAGAGTGAGCAGAAACACAAACCAAGATCCTAAATTACAATTGAAGTAAAAGCAAATAATAACTCAGAAACAACGACAGTTTTCACATCAGGTCTTAGCCAACAACTGCACGAAGTTCCGAACCTCGAACAGAATTACCGCTCACGGGTCTCAATACCTGAAACCTAACACTTGGCATCATGTGCCCTCATCACACCTCATGGTCATACTGACAACTCACTGATTAACTAGAGCCACTCTCACACATATGACAAGCAAACGAGGGTGTATATCTATACTTAACAATACCAGGGGAAAACTTCTTAACCAATAGGAGTATTTAGCTACGTGTATACATGTGCAAGTGTCCTAACATAGATCATACCAGTTAAAGACGTAAGGAAAAGAACGGACAGCACGTAAGGCATTTTATTCACAACTTTCACGAGGTAGAACTCATACATGTAAACATACCATAACACAACATCAACAACAAGAATGCCCTCAGGCCATCACAAGTATCACAATCAAATCCCTGACATAGCCCACCTTGCCTCGCCACGTGTGCAATAATAACATAATAAGTACCCGCCTTGTTTCGCCGCACGTGCATCATAATGTTCCCACCTTGTCTCGCCACATGCGCAACCCACATATATACATATATATATATATATATATATATATATATATATATATATATATATATATATCCCGCCTTATCATGCCGCATGTGAAATATATCAATAGTAACAATAGCACGGCAGAAACCTCGTGCAACCCCATAACAACAACCGCACGGCAGAGATCTCGTGCAACTCTATAACAACAACCGCACGGCAGAAACCTCGTGCACCAACACAACCAGTACAACAACAACAATGACAGTAATACAAAGTACAACGAGTGAATCCACTCCGAAACTTTAAATCACAAGGTAACGATAGAAACAGTTCACAAGGAATAACCACAGTAAGGAAAATGAAGGGGCATAAAGGGAACAGTTCAACAAAAGGGGAAATCTAACATGTAGTAACGACCCCACAATATACAAGTCAATAACAAGGAAATCAACACAAGTCCAGTAGTCCCAAACAAAGCAAGTCAACAAAGGTATAGGTTATCTAAACTCCTTTTAAGGTTGGAAAGTTACGAGGATATTCGACAATTCAGTTAAGGAAAGATGATCTTAGCTTCACTTAAAACTAGTAAATTATAGAAAGGATGATAATAAATCTCAAATAACCCAGGCAGTTATAAAAAGGTAGCATGACAATAGGAGAGACGAAATTCTTCAGTTAAATCAAATAGGATGACAATTAGGCAATAAGAGTGAATCATGAAGCAATTAATTCCAATTAAGCATGTAGAGACGAACTAGTAAGCAAGAACGCAGTCATATCATGACTAAGTCCATACATAGTGAATATAAGAACCTAAGAACCTAAAAGGCCAATTACCCACAAATAAGTCCGAGTACGCACTCGTCACCTCGCGTACACGAACTACAATCAACACAGAAGACTCAAATCCTAAGGGGAAGTCCCCCACATAAGGTTGGCAAGATACTTACCTCAAAGACGACAGACCGATACACTAAAATACACTTCTCAGGTGAAAAGATCTCCGGACGGCTCAAATCCAACCAAAATAACTTCAAGGCACAAATAAAACACATAAGAAACTATTCCGGATCATAAAGTCTCAATCTTTAAAAAAATTCAAAAATTGGTCCAAAAGTCGACCCCCTGGCCCGCACCTCGGAACCCGACAAATTTTACAAAATCTGAATACCCATTCCAATATGAGTTCAACCATACAAAAAAATTATCAAATTTCGATACTATTTGGTCCCTCAAAACCACGATTTTTCATTTTTGAAATTTTCTTCAAAAACTCACAATTTCCTCAACCCAAAATACAATTTAAATGACAAAAACAAAGATAAAATCATGGAATATATTAGATTCTAGGTGGAGAACACTTACCTAATCGATTTGTGTGAAAAACCCTCAAAGAATCGCTCAAAATCGAGCTCCACAAGTCAAGATATGAATAAAATGGTCTAACCCTCGATTTTGGAATATATTTCGTCTGCCCAGGCATTTGTGCATCGCAAACACGGAAGAAGGATCGCGTTCGCGAAGAAGAAAAATGAAGGCTACCCAGGTTACTCATCGCGAACGCTGAGAAGAAGAGCCAGGAACCTACACGAACGCGATGAAGTGACTGCGAACGCGAAGAAGGAGAAAGGCAAACCTTCGCGAACGCGACGGGTTAAACGCGAACGCGAAGAACAATAAATTCCTCCTCCAAGATTACTCTTCGCGAACGCGGAGGAGCAGACGCGAACCGAAGGAGGAAAGCAGCTGACAGATATCAGCAGTCCAAAAATAAGGGAAAATGACCCGTAGCCTACCGGAACACACCCGAGGCCCCGGGACCCTGTCTAAAGACAAAAGCAAGTCATATAACCTAACACGGACTCGCTTGAGGTCTCAAAACACATCAAAAAACACCGAAACGATGAATCACACCATGAATCAAACTTAGGAACTTTCAAATCTTCCAACTTCCAAAACTCGGGCTGAAACCTATCAAATCAACCAGGAATGACGCCAAATTTTGCGGACAAGTCCCAAATGACAAGACGGAGCTGTTACAACTCTCGGAATCTCATTCCGACCCCGATATTGCAAAAGTCAACTATGGGTCAAACCTCTCCATTATCCAAACTTCAACTCTTCCAACTTTCGCCGAAACGCCTCAAATCACCCTATGGACCTCCAAATCTGAATCCGGACTCGCGCCCAAGTCCAAAATCACCATACGAAGCTGCTCACATCATCCAAAACTCATTCCGGAGTCGTTTACTCCAAAGACCTATTCCGGTCAAATTCTCACTGCTTAAGCTTCCAAAACTAGATTCCTTCTCCCAATTCGACTCTGAATCATCCGGTAACTGAATTTAACCATGCACGCAAATCGATAAACATAATATGAAGCTTCTCAAGACCTTATGCTGATGAACGGAGCTTAAATTCCCAAAACGACCGGCCAGGTCGTTACATCCACCTTATGCAATGCATCCTGGAGGTACTAAAATGTATCAGACCATTAAGGAGCACTGCTGGTGGAGTGGTATGAAGAGAGACATTGCAGAGTTTATTTCTAAATGCTTGGTATGTCAACAAATAAAAGCTGAGCATCAAGTCCCAGCTGGTCTACTGCAACCCTTGTCAATACCTGGATGGAAATGGGAAAAGATAACAATGGACTTTGTTTTTGGACTTCCACGCACTCAAAGAAATCATGATGCAATTTGGGCCATTGTAGATAGACTAACTAAGAGTTCTCATTTCTTGGCAATCAGAATGGACTACTCACTGGAACGTTAGGCACAATTATACATTAATGAGATTGCGAAGCTGCATGGAATCCCTGTTTGTATTGTGTCTGACAGAGATCCAAGGTTTACATCCAGATTTTGGTCTAGATTGCAAGAAGCTTTGGTTCCAGGTTGAGTTTTAGTACCGCTTTACATCCACAAACAGACGGCCAGTCTGAGAGGGTAATACAAATCTTGGAGGATATGCTTCGAGTGCATTATTGAGTTTGAGGGTAGTTGGGACAAACACTTAGCCCTGATAGAATTTGCTTAGAATAATAGCTACCAATCAAGTATAGGCATGCCTCCTTATGAAGCTTTATATGGGAGAAAATGTAGAATGCCTCTTTGTTGGAATGAGGTTGGTGAAAGAAAATTGGTGGGTCCTGAGATTGTGAAACAAACTGAAGATAAGGTGAAAATCATCAAGGATCGTTTGAGAATTTCTTCAGACAGACAAAAGTCCTATGCTGATCTTAAAAGGCGTGAAATTGAGCATCAGGTGGGTGATAAGGCATTTTTATAGGTTTCTCCATGGAAGAAGATTATGAGATTTGGCCAAAAAGGTAAACTTAGTCCTCGATTCATTGGACCTTATGAAATACTTGAGAGAATTGGTCCAGTTGCATATAAGCTGGCTTTGCCACCTGAATTAGGAAGATCCACAATGTCTTTCATGTTTCTATGCTTCAAAGATACCGCTCAGATTCATCTCATGTTCTTCCTATTGAGTCTATTGAGGTTAATCCTGATTTGACATATGAAGAAGAACCAATCCAAATCGTAGCGCATGAAATAAAAGAGCTTAGAAATAAGAGAATCCCATTAGTGAAGGTTCTTTGGAGAAATCATTCAGGCAAAGAAGCAACCTAGGAGCGAGAAGAGGATATGCGAGTTCAATATCCACATTTGTTTTGGGACTAGTACAAGGTAAATTTCGGGACAAAATTTATTTAAGGGAGAGAGTTGTAAAACCCCAAATTTTTAATAATATTTGCATCCTCGATTGAGCACTTTTATAACGAGGAGATATTTTACTTTGCACTTCCTAAACGTGAAATTAAAAATATATGAAAATTCCTTACTTTAGGTTGTGTTAATATTGGCAAAGAAGTTCCATGGTGTTGCTATATGTAACACTTAATATTATTTTGATGAGTTGTTATTAAATACACTATATAATTGAGTTTTGAGCTGTCACCCTTTTGTATTTATCAAAGGATATTTAGTAGTTGGGGAACCATTTTTATTTCGTATTTATTCAAAATTCTTAAAGTTAACTTTGATTGATTTAGTCTTCCATAAACTCCCCATTTTCATTCTTGCAAGACAAAGAAAAAAACTCCTACCCTCTCTACTTCTTACCCCCTGAGAACTTCATGAAACCACCATAAATTTTCACTAAACCAACCAGCAAAATTCGTTTTTGGTGATGCTCAAGTTGCTTCTCTCTTTTGTGGTAAGTTTTGAAACCCGTTTTTACACTAGAAAGCTATTAGTATTTTTTACATATCATTTTGTACAGAGCTCTGTTTTAAGTGATCCTGGACTTTCTGGAAAGGTATTTCATATATCTATTGTTGATACCCAATTTTTTCCTGTATATTTTTTTTACATGCAAAATACTTTCAAAATAGTATACATACATATATATATATATATATATATATATATATATATATATATATATATATATATATATATATATATATATAAGCATGTCCAAGTGTTTTTTATTAT